CTAACTACATCTCAGCGTATAGGAGACACTATGGCTGTGAAACCTCGTTAATGAGGTTAACAGAAGATTGGAAGCGTAGTCTGGATAGCAAACAAATTGTTGCAGTGATATCAATGGATTTATCTAAGGCTTTTGGCACCATACCGCATGAACTTTTGCTGGCTAAGCTGAAGGCTAATGGTGTTAACATTACAAGTTGTATGCTTCTTAAAGATTACTTACACGGTAGGATGCAGCGGGTGAAAGTAGGTGATACAAGCTCTGATTGGCAAGAAGTCAGGCGAAGAGTACCTCAAGGCAGTGTTCTTGGACCAATGTTTTTTAATACATTTACAAATGATTGATTCCTACAAATTAAAACTGTTCAATTAAATATGTATGCAGATGAATCAGTAAATGACTCAGTGGAACTTTTTGGCGTTACAATTGATAAGGATCTTACGTTTAAGCAACATGTGTCTATATATAAAAAGGTAAACAATCAGTTCAGCGTTATGACAAGGTTCGGTAAACTGATGTCTACTGAAACCATGCTACGTCTTTATAAGGCATTTATACTTCCTCACTTTTATTATTGTTCTATGGTGTGGCATTTCTCTAGTAAACAAGATTCTGATAAATTGGATTTTTTAAACAAACGTATTCTTCGATTTATTTTCAAGGATTTTAACTCTGAATACAATAGTTTACTTAAAAGGGCAAGAACTGTAAACCTTAAGGACAAGCGTTTACAAAACATGATTCTTACTATTTTTAAATGTCTACATTTTTCTGATTATCCAAGATATTTAAAAGATATGTTTCGCTTGCGCTCTAGCACCTATTTTTTAATAGGACGTAATATAATCTGTTTGCCTAAACCATTGGCCACTTCTTATGGTATCAATCTCTTTAGTTACTTGGCAGCAATATCTTAGAATTCTCTTCCTGACACACACTAATCAAAGTAATCCTATCTCGAACGAAACTCACGAGTTTATATATTTGGTAGCATTTCTGCATATATTACGGTTGGGACAATATACACTTATTAACAAGCATTTATATTGGGAAAAAACGTGACAAGACGTGAGTGGCGGAATGAATAGGATTAACGATAATTTAAATGAATTGCAGATTATGCAACACTATTGGTGAAATGTTTGCAAGAGTAAGGCTTCGCTTCGGTAAACGAAGCGTTTCAAGCGTTCCCGTAACAGGAAATCTTATCGCATACAGAAAATAATATCTGCTATTACCGACATAAAAGCTAGTAGGAAATTCCTACGTAGATGTTGTTTTGTTGAATGGTCAGTTAATGAGTGTTGTTTCGGTTCATCAACTTCGCTATCTTCGGCGACTTGCCATTGTCAATAGTTGGTAAAGGACAATAGATTATTCTCTTACTGTAACAACATATTTTTTATTGAGTGCTTAAGAGTCTGTCCACGAGAGGACCAGGCAGGCGTGACACATGCCATCACACCGATTTCTCTCAAACTTTCTCAGATGATTAAGGTCATAAAGTTATTCAAGAGTCCAAAGTAGTTTGGGCTCCCGGTTAATCCCTGGGGTACAAGGGCTTTCACATCAAATCCCAGGGATAAAACCCCGAAATTAGCCCTAACTTTCATACTTCCAAAAAAGATCTCTCACACTGATAGAATGCGGTGGATTTTAATCTCATTTTATCCGACAATTCCTTGAACCTTAAGCAATGGAAGGTTCGAAGTTGGATTGATTTGAAATTATTCTCGCCAATCGAGAGCATTAACCATGTCACGCGACAATTTTAAGAGACCGAAAATTAGGCTTTTTTAATTGCAAATATCTCCAATGGGCAACGTTACATGTCGATCAACATTTGATCACAGTAAAACCCAATCAAAACCCAATCAAAACCCTGTGCCAGCGAAAAAACCTGCCGGTGCCCACATGGTATGTCTTCCAAGCTCTCAGTCCAGCTGACTCGAACAAGAAATTGTTCAGTGCTTGAATTCCAGTCATGCTATGTTTCGTCACACTTTGAAAAGAATCTTTCCAATCGAGAGCATTAACCATGTCACGCGACAATTTTAAGAGACCGAAAATTAGGCTTTTTTAATTGCAAATATCTCCAATGGGCAACGTTACATGTCGATCAACATTTGATCACAGTAAAACCCAATCAAAACCCAATCAAAACCCTGTGCCAGCGAAAAAACCTGCCGGTGCCCACATGGTATGTCTTCCAAGCTCTCAGTCCAGCTGACTCGAACAAGAAATTGTTCAGTGCTTGAATTCCAGTCATGCTATGTTTCGTCACACTTTGAAAAGAATCTTGAATTTCTGCTACAGTGGCATAACAGCACTTTACCTCACCATACTATTCAATTGCAACCTTCATGTCATTGGCAGTGTTTATGTCATTTCCCTCGTTTATAAATCGCCGCATGTGACTTTTAAGAGTGGCTATACGGCGGTCACAAACATCTTTGCCGGCTCGGGGATCGCTGAAGTCATAGCGGAAGATTCTGATTCTGACACGCTCACCAAGACTTGGCAGTGACAGAATAAGATACGCATTGTGGTAGCACCCAGCGTTATTGGATCGCAATAAAGCTTCACTGAGGTTGGAATAACTGGCGTTTAAAGCCACAAGCGTACTCTCCAGGATTGATGTCACTGCAAACCAGTTTTGGATGCATTTGTCGAAAAGGTGGATATAGCTTCTTGTCTAGAGAAAAAACGGGACTGTATTACCTAATTAGTATTGTCACCATTAGGCTTACAGCCAATTTTGAGGTAAAGCTCTATATTATGAGACACCTACGCAATAGGGAATTTGTTTAAAGCATGTATTTGCATTTCCGGTTTACCACCATTTTTACTTCCAGAAATTGCGTAAAATGTGTAAATCAACTTTTTCTGGCCAATGTCTTCTTCACAGATATAACGTTTGCAGATATCTTGGTTGCGGCATCGCTTTCACTTCATTGCGTTGATCTAAGTTAGTCTGATGACTACTAGATTAGTTTATCAATCCTTCTGTCACGCTGGCGTGATGAACACTAATCATAAATCAGTTGCAGGTTTTCTTTTTTCTAGACGTCGACCTTGGTTACATTACACCCAGACGCAACTGAAACTCTACCTCAATTTCTCCGTAATCTCCCTTTTTGACAGCAACAGAAACATGCGATGACTTTCCCTTCTTCCCAAACCAATTTCGATGTGTTTCCCGGTAACCGGTTGGGAGAAATTTCATAGCCCAGTCCGTAATGATAAGTACTTGGTTATTGGTCAGGTTCTCGATAACCGCACTTTTTGCAGTGTCCTGGTGAGCCGCCCTATTTGTCGAAAAGGTGGATATAGCTTCTTGTCTAGAGAAAAAACGGGACTGTATTACCTAATTAGTATTGTCACCATTAGGCTTACAGCCAATTTTGAGGTAAAGCTCTAAATTACCTATGGTGCTGACGAGGAGAATTTGTGTAACAATCAAAAGCTTCTTTTGTCTGTGACCATTATCTTTACTCTCGTGACCTTAGTGTTTGATTTAGGGATGATATTGTAAGGAGAAATTATGGGTTAAAGTGTTAAATAAACTATTATTTTGGATTCTAAACGATTAAACTGACTGAGTACGAAAGGATATAGGGGGTAAGTTTCTAAAGAAACTGTGGTACTGCGTCGGTGGGAGATTATAACAGGGTAATTTAGTGTTATCAACTGAGTTGATAAGGTTAAATTGGCCACCGTAAATAGTTTAAAAGCGTTAGCGTTTCGTTAACGTTTCGAGCGTTAGCCCTTCGTCAGAGTGATTGGACGAAGGGCTAACGCTCGAAACGTCAGCTTTTAAACTCTTTTCGGTGGTCGATTTAAGTTATCAACTCAGTAAATAATATCAAATTAACCTGGGTACGAAAGGTCCGAGCTGTGTACGAATCGACCGGCCTGGTATGAATCTACTGGCCGACTTTCTTGAAATTTTTCCGCAGGTTCATGATTCGGTTTTACTCTTTCTTCTTCTCCCAAAATTATTTTATCATATTATTTTATTTTCCTTTTATTCTATCGTACAAATGAAGGCGAAATGCAAATAAATCAAGAAAATAGTTTTAATGGTAAAATATTGAATCACATTGCACCCTCACTTTTTATCTCAATTATACCAACTTTCCCAATGTCATGAAAGACGGGGAATTATTTGTCTTAAGTTTTTGGAGGGAATTCTAAGCTATGAACTTTGATCTTTTTTTCTCTTCTGCCGTACCCTAATAGCTGACAGGATTTGCAGCAGCTTGCTAGTAAACTCTGTTGGGTATAAACCAGTCTGAGACTTTTTCGATCGAAGATAAACCTAGGAATTCAAAGATTTTTTTTTCCTTTTAAGAACGCTCAAGGCACTAAGATGTTTCCGGAAATCGCCGTTTGAACTTACCATTGTTGTATCACACCAGTAGTAGGATGTTACTCCGACAAGGAACGGAGAACGGGCAGGGAAGATCGAGGAACGAGGAACGAGGAACGCAAAACGCAATACGGAAAACGCAAAATACAAAACGGAAAACGGGGAATGGCAAGTAGTCCTTGTAAATAATGTTGTACTACTTAGGCGAGTTATTTAGTCAGTTTATTCCGTGACATAGAAACGAAAATTACACGCGTATGACTCAGCAAGTTTGTAGATATAATAGATCCAATTTGTCTACGAACTAACTTTTGATGAAATAGTAAAGCAACATGTCAAAAATAAACAACGCTATTAAATAATGTACAAGGTTATGGAAAGGTTAGGTGGATTTGACAGTTTTCACTGATCATTTTTTCAGGCAGGAAGTCTTCGTAAATGATGTAAATTATATTTGATACCCGCCATCATTAGAACTCTTCATGTTTATAACATTTAACAGTTCGCCACTGACGTTAGGACTTGCTAATATTGTTCACAAGGATCTATTTATGACTTATCTCATTTTGTGAAGTTATTAGACTCAGATTCAGTCTGTGCTACAGTAGCGGGAATCACAACCAGGGGGCTTAGTAAGTTTGTAGATGAAAAGTGATCCACAATTTTTAACTGAAATTCGGTTATCTTTTTCGCAACCCGTCTCACGATCACTAAAGCAGACCTTCCTGTAAACTTCACCATCTTCCACTGTTGGATGAGCACCATCCAACCAGCCTGACCAGTCTGTGCCACATCTGAATGCTGGCACACGCGTTGTTGGCATTTTTGTTCCTGCAGCTCCCACAAAACGATACCATCCCTCATGGAGTAGGTTGTCACAATACACTGGACCGAAATGCGGTGTTTCATGACTGCTTTTTCTTGTGGCATCACTTAAATTGTCGTAATTATAACATGGATCGGCTAAAAAGTTGAATAATAATTGTGAAAAGGACATTTAATTGTTAGTTTGGGTCAGGAACTTCTCACTTTCACTTCACCCTCACTTTTATTTTATTATATATATAATGTATATTTATGTATATTATGTATATTATATATATATAATATACATAAAAAATATTCCTATGAATCGCAGATAGCAGATGCTAACTGAGGCGGGTCAATTCTATTCCTTAACTAAACTTAATTTAACTTAATGAAGTTACACTGGAAATAATTTTCCTTTTTCGAAGGATTTCTTTGACAAATGTTAAGTAGGGATCTCATTCCAGATTTTGACACTAACAGGCAAATAGGCCTCTCTGAATTTTAAGCCTTGATAACTTAACGCTAAAGAGTTCTGACTTTTCTGAGCGAGTAGTATAGATATGGTTGTTTGAGAATCTAGCAAAAATTTCTATGATGTTAGAAGGCGCATTATCGTTATGGACACCGAGCATTAATTTACATACAGCTTCATGAAATAAGAAGGTAATTGGTAGAATTTTTGTATTTACAAATGAGACGATTGCATGTTTTTTTCAACCAATAATGTAAATTAAACGTAATACTCGCTTTTGGAGAACAACAACTTTGTTTAGATAGTTTTTAGTGGCATTACCGCAAGCAACGAGTCCATAAGTTAAACATGTGAGGTAAACTTAGGGATTTATAAATATTTTTTTCTCCGTTTAGCAACCAATCCTATAATCTTACTTGCTTTATTGATAACACAGTCAACGTGGTTTTTCCAAGAAAAATTGTCATCGATTTAGACACCTAAATATCTCATGTAACTCTTATGTTCTGAACTGACTGTTCTATTTGTTTCATTATCAAATATACTTATTTATTACGATAATGGTTTTCTTTTGTCGGGGGCGAAAAATAACAAGATTTGATTTTTTGCATTCAAATTCAATTCATTTGTCATCAGGCAGTCATATAAGTTGTTCAGTTCAGCATTGACCGTTTGTTCTAAAGACTTGAGGTCCTTGTCAATTTCTTCATGGAGAGTTAGGGTAAATGTTTGCATTCAGTTTCGCCAAATAAAAGAAAAAGTCAACTTTTTTCGGCCTCTGAAGGTGGAAAGCAACCTTTTTTGTCGTAATCGTTTTATGACATCTGTTACGGTTGTTTAATGATCCATTGATTCTTAGCCATGTTCTTTCATATTATTTACGTTATGCTTAAACTCGTACGAATGATGATTTTATTTCTATAAGATTCATTTTCGCTACAATTTCCAGTTTCATATAACCTATCTTTATTTAACAAATAGAGAAGCCTTGACTTTGCTCTGTTCTGTTATAAAGCACGTAGGAAGCGGCTAGAGCACGAAAGAAGTGTAGGGAGAAACACGAGACGTAGTCTTCCCATTTCTTGAGTGCTCTAGCCGCTTCCTAAGTGCTTTATAACAGAACAGAGCACAGTCAAGGCTTCTCTATTTGTTTTGTAATAAAGAATCCGTTAAATTACCTAAGCATTACTTTCAATTTTCAAAACAAACTTTATTTCCAAAGCGAACAACAATGTCGTCAGCATGCTCTATACTCTCATAAAGCACGCTACAATAAGCCAATCAGAATCCTTGTTAGAATGGTTCAAATAATCTGATTGGCTGTACAAGACTAAAGCTGTCAAAAGTGTCAAACCATCAAAGTTCACATTCTACGATAGTTTACAAACTAAAATAGTTCGGCGAGTCGAATTTAACACTTTTGCCTGAAGTTTTTAAGTCTCTAATATAGAATCTCGAAGTGAAATGTTCAGTGAAATTCAATCGAATTATGGCTCATAAAAACACGCGAGTTTTTTTCACATGACAAGGTAGAAAACAAGCTGTTCAAGGCGAGTGTTTTTTGAATGAAAGACAGCTGAATTCACCGGAACATGAAGATCGCTCGTGATGACAGCGACGCAAAACTCGGCTGCAGTGACTGATGTGAATTGGCACTCAACGTATCGGAAAGGATATCAGAGCAAGCTCTTATTTTTTCACTCGAAGGGCGGCCGATGTAGTTTCTGAGGCTTGCTTTACTGTGATGACCGGAGATCGCCATGGACTTAGCATGATCATATTCGCTCAGACACCGTTATGATTAGTATGAATTTTAACAATTATGCCAGTTTGGTTATATTTTTCATCATTTCTGTTTTGTCCTGTTTTGTTTTTGAACACTGAACTTTATATACTATACGAGTGTTAGCTGTCTTTGATTTTTATTACCGTACGTAAGCTTGCAATCTAACTGAGCGTGAAAATCTTTAAAACTCGGAATGTTTATTTTGTTTTTCCTTTGAGGATTTTCGTATCTGCTCACGTTTTAACAACGTAAATTACGGCGCATGGTATGTTTACAAACCTTTGTTTGATTCTTCAGTTGCTATTTGCCGACTCGCTTCAGTTCCGAAATTTCACTTTCAATTATCGAGAAAAAGCTAAAAAGAAGTCCCGGAAAAGGTTGAACATAGTACAATTGGCAGATGGCGTGACAGCTTTAGCTCAGTTCTATGCTCTATACTCTCATAGAGCACGCTCTTTCAACCAATGAAAGCGCAGGTTATATCCGAACTTTATTATAATTTTATTTAAGTTCTTATTCCCTTGTTATCCATGATTTCGGGAGTTGTTTAATTTGACCTTTTGAAAAAAATTTTAAAGGTGCATGTTTTTGCACGACTTTATTTAATTGCAAAAAGTTGAAAAATGTTCTTAAAAGCTATTTGCTTTTGACACTATAATACTATCCCAGTCGACTATGGACAGATCATTATTAAACCGCACTGAGGAGAAGTATGAGAGTTCGCGTTTCTTTGTTTTTTGTTCTTTGTTTTATTTTGTTTCTTTTTTTGTAACTTTATCTCTTCCTGAGGTCAAAATGAGGTCAAAATGCAAAACTGAGAGAATTGATCACAAACGTCTGTGATGATATTTCTACTAGTTAAAACTTGACTGGGATTGTTAAAAAAAAATATTATCAATAAGAGAGGCTGACATTTTATGCACGCATGTTGGTTTGTCAATAGTTGGAAGTAGAAAACTGCTCTGTAAGGCTAATTGGAAGTCTTAGCCCGTCACACAGAAATTTTTTAAAGAAATATGGAGAATTGTGTTGGCGATAAATGATGCCGTATACGATATTCTTTTGTCTTTTAAAAGAAATTCTGTACACGAAGCTTGAAAGGCTTCATGCGTCTCCTTTCAAGTGCAGAGTAGTTAAGATTTTTATCGATGGAGAACCCAACGCCACCAGAGGCCAGAGGTGTGGGCACGTGTTCAAAAGCGTAACATGGAATTTTGGAAGCAAAATTGTGTTGTTGTGTTGGCAATTTTGTCTAAAACATGGGCCTCGTTCCAGGGACAATAATTATAGTGAGAGATTGCCTTCCTTAAGGCTTCTTTAATGTACCTTGGCATGAATGTCCACCTCTAATATAACCTTCTTTACAGGTGCAGTTGTGGGAGCCGATAGTGTTGATACAGGTTGCGTTAGCATCACAAACATGGCTGCCATCGTTGCACTCATCGATATCTGTGAACAAAAAGATTTAACAAAAGTGATTTAAGGAAATAGAAAAAGACATACTTTTTGGGTAATTCAATGATAATTATGAAAAGTTACTCTGCTCTTTTTCTAAGTCTAGTCTGATTTACCTTGGCACGATTGTCCATCCCCGATGAATCCTTTCTTACAAGTACAGCTGTGGGAGCCGTAAGAGTTGGTACATTTCGCGTGCACGTCACAAACATGGTCTGCTCTGCTGCACTCATCGATATCTGGAAGGGCAAAAATTGATGATGTATGGAATGTAACCTATAAGGCAAACGACTCTAGGGTTCGGCATCATTAATTTGCCTCTGAAACATAAGTTAGGTTCCATGGGCAATAAATATTGAAAAAGTTTCGAAAGTTGACAAGGCAGTAGTTACTGGAAAAAGTTACTCTGTTTTTTGTTAAGTGTGACATAATATAGTTTGCAACATTTTCCGTTCCTAGACATTCAGTTCGAGACATCATAAAACGTAACAGATCGCTGATTTTGACTCCTAAAAGGTACGAAAAGCATCCTCACCCATTTCCATCCTCACCCATTTCCCATTTTACCCTTTACGGTGGCTAATTTACGTTTCAACCCAGTTGTTAACACTAAATTACCTGCTATACTCTCCCACCGACGCAGCACCATAGTTTTTTTAGAAACTCACCCCTTTACTCACCCATTTCTGATCGCCTTCACCCCCTCGGTCAGCACCGAAAAACAAAGATTTGCTCCCTAGTAAACTTATTTCGAATCAATTTTACTCTGGTATCATGCAGCAACCGGTATGAGCTCGTTCTTGAGCAAAACTCATTCCGATATCATGTAAAGGCCCCTGAAAGTTTATATTCCCAGAGCATGACGCTTTGCTCTCCTATCTGAATACTATAAATTTCAATAGCGTTAAAGCAACAACCCGCCTTTAACTGCTGCGCTGCCACTAAAACAACGATTAGTGACCACAAAAGCACATATTCTAATATTTTCAATTCAATATAAGCAAAAATCTTTATAAAGGGTTAGTATTCATTAGTGTCGATATCAATTACTGCGTGTTTAGCTCATGATTTACATGGGGGAGGGGAAAACACAACGTGAAACCTGGGTTCCTGTCGAAAGGTAATATCCAGGCGTAAAATAATAATCGAAACACGTAATAAAATCATAAATAAACAAGGTAGATGTGTTAGATCTTTTTACAAGTTGTAGTGATTTATGCCAGTAAACGTTGGAGACAAGTAAGCACACCATGTATATTTTATAGTCGCTGGCAAGTAAATTGGCCGGACTTTGAGTTCGTCTCAAGATAGAACAACATAAATACACAAGGAAATTTTTACAGTAACTTTATAACCATCCTTTTGTCTTTTAAAAGCTCAGTAGATTCTTTCCTATCTGTCATTGTTAAACTGTCTTTGTTTTGATGCTACTGTTCGA